GCTACGACGCATCCAGCAGCAGCAGCAGCAACAGCAGCATGGCTCGCTCGAGCCGGAGCAGGGATACGACCCGCCCAGGCGTCAGTCGTGCTGGTTAGCCCTGCCGAGTGGCGACTCCTTCATGCTTAACGCGAACCTTTTCGACGACGCGCTTCTCTCCTCAGCAACCAGCCAGTCCGACGCCCCCTCTCGACATCTGTCTTACTATGCTGCTTCGAATCTCTCCGACGCATGCTACTCGTTTCCTTCCTTATCATCCTCGTCACCTCTTCCTCTTCCTCATCGTCTGTCATTCGCTCCCCTGCACTCCTACCCGCGCTCAGCGGCGGCGGCAATGGCAGCATAAAGGGCGGCGGCGGCAAGAGCAACATGGCCATGACACTAGCCCTCGTCGCCGCCAACATTGCAGGCGCGGCCGCGTCTCTGGCCAAACAGCAAGAGCCTGCCGCGTTCTAACAGAATATCTGCGAGTGCGCATCTTCTGACGCATTGTCTGGCGACATAATGCGCCAAATACAAGACATGCATGGGCTGGGCCTAGGTGGCGAGGGCTTTGGTGGCGAGCGCCTGGGTGGCGGGGGCTCCAAGGCTATGTGATTTTTTAGCTGCTTGCCGTGAACATCCGAATCGCCTGCGCGTGTGCCCTCGTTTTCTCTTCTTGCAACCCGTCACATTCTGTTTAAACTTCTCAGCATTTTTGCGAAAGTCAACATCTTCATGTGTTGTGCCACGGGACACGTGTGATACGTTCAAGATCCTCGTTAGGGACAAGGTCAGTGCATCATTTTTCGCTTGCGATCGAGTCGAACCGAAATGATGAAAGAGGCAACTAGAAGCCAGCCGCTGCCAAAAATTAACTGGGACGTGTGACAAAGATGATCGATGTTTCGTGCCTTGACTCTTAAGAACTGGTTGTCCTACAAAAGGGAGTGAATCTGGATGAAGGGTTCCGGCCTCAGATCAATTTGCTAACACTAATGTCTCTGTCCTCGATACTCCGTCAGTAATTTTTTGATCATCAACTCAACTCTAGGTTTGTACACCGATAACACCCAGCTGCGGATCCGCAACAACATCAGTTGGAGATGGAAGATGTCGATGTCACAGGTTTGATCAAGTTTTCTGCTGATCGGCAAGAGATGCTGAAGTGTGCAATTGGCCTCATCAGGGTCCGCCTTCTACGACGGGACGAGAAATGGAGACTCACGTACGATTCGCTTTGTCCCTGGTAAAATGCGATGAAAGCTTCCCACAATGTTCCGCACGAAGCGAAGGCAAAGACTGGCAGTGTGTCTGTGCCATCATCGTAGGACGAGAGCTGTTGCAGAAGACTCAAAGCCTTGGCAGCACCACCTGCAGACTGGTTTTCCGCAAAAAATAGAGAACTCGAGTCCGACTTTGCCTCGTAAATAAGAAAGGGAAATGCGACCTCTTCCAGTCCTGTCGAAGGCGTGGCGATAAGCCTGAATGCTGCGTGCGAGTTTAGCAGCCCAAGGACATGCTCAGTCAAGAGCTCGTCCC